AATTTTATCTGGTTTCTAATTAACTAATAATAACTTTGCGTTCTGTATTTATATCAGTTCGACTAAAGCTGCTATAATATGCTCGATGACACCGTCACAACTGCAATCAACGAGTGTAATATTTCGATACCATGTACCCTTCACTCCCTAACCTTCTGAGTTGATAGTCCATTACAACACTCTTGCCCCAACCAACAATCAGCTTTTTCATTTAAAATAAATAACAAATATAGAATCGATACATAAATAAATATCCGCCCTCTCCGAGATATTATGAATGTATGATGTATAATATATATATTATATATATATATATATATATGTGTTTGTGTGAGGGGGCGTTTTGCGTGTTGCTTATGTGTGTTGGGGCGCGCGCATGCATGCGGTGCCGTGCATGAGTACGGTGCGCGATACTTGGCTAGCGTGTGCGGTGTGCGTGTGAGGTGTACGTGTGCGTGTGCGTGTGCGTGTGCGTGTTGTGGTGCTGTGCGTGTTCGTGTGTTTGTGTGTGTGTGTGTGTGTGTGTGTGTGTGTGTGTGTGTGCGTGTGTTTGTGTGTGTGTGTGTGTGTGTGTGTGTGTGTGTGTGTGTGTGTGTGTGTGCGTGTGTGTGTGTGTGTGTGTGTGTGTGTGTGTGTGTGTCGATTCCTGTACTAATTAGTAACTAATACTATTGAGCGCCCATTCATGCAAGCGACGTGCGTAAATTTTCAAAAGTCGATTAAAACTACTTATATAATATTATATATAGTGCCATATTATGATTGGATGCAGGGTCATCGGAATACTTGCTAAACCAGATCAGGATCAGATCAGGCAACTGACGATCGACAGCACCTCAGACAAAAGAATAGCAGGGGTAACACAATCTCGCTGGAACACACCACACCCCGTACATTTCTCATGCCCAGCGCCTGTTTTTGCGAGGTGAGACGACGGCCTGCCTTTATTACTTACATATCCGTCATTCACCCTGCTAGTTCAGCACCTGTTCGCCTAAGAACCATGCGATTTTTTTTACAAGGAAAAGTGCAACGTCAACACAAACAACCACATTGCGACCGATAGTCATTAATTTTTATTATATATATTCTATTATTGTACTAGATTCTAATATACATCCGCATCTAATATTATTGCCCACGTACGCTACTGGAGTTATTTCTCTTAGGTGTTGGTCAGTTTACGTAAAAACGCGTGCGCATTTTCAGAAGATATTCTTTACGCGGATGCTTCTCTAAATCAGGCGCATGTATATGTCGCTTGAAAGGTTGCGCACGTAGAACACCGCTAACCTCTTTAATCCGTTCGAAACCATTGCCCTTCCATCAGAGTTTACGGAATGTTCTCCGAGTAGCCTTTCAGATTCATGACCTGTCAGCTGTCCAGGCACCACGTTGGAAAAGCACACATGCTACTATAGCAACCGGATACTTCTAGCTGTTGGCGCTGCTCGATGATTCCACTTGTTAGACACGACTTCAAGCGGTAGCGAGATTCTTTGTGTTACGGTGTACAGTACGCGGCCATTAATTTTGCATGCGAATAATTATTATGACTGCGCTCTTTTCTACTTCCCCGAAATTACTACGCCACAATTAATTGTTTTAATACGTGAACCGTTAGCAGCAAGAATGTGACGTTAAATATTGTGCTATACATAACTAGCTATAATTATAACCGTATAGACTGTTCTGTTCAGAAAACACGATTAGGAATCTTTTCCGGGCTTGAAAATTCAGCGTTTTTATGCACTGCCACAGTGAGAAGCATGAGATAGAAACTCGAGGTGTAGGAAATTTATATTTCACTAACACCCAAACGTCTCATTATATATATATAGTCTGACGTGTAGACTTGTGCCGGTTAATTATCATGGCGAGCGTTGACATTATTCCGTCCTTCAGCTGCCTCGAGTTTAAGTTGGCGGGCGTCCATCAAACAAATCCACCCTAGCTCACTAATGAACATATATCCTCCTTGGGTTTATCTTTACGGTATTCTGGCTTTGTTTAATCGTCGTTGCACACACACAACTAACAGTCGATGATTTTTCGCAGCTTGTGCAGCGAGAGAGTGTGTATTTCGCGGCAGGAAATGAGAGACGTATTTGTGTAAGTGCCTTCTCGCGACAGCGTCTCTATCTGTAATGTTAGATATTCTTAGGAGAACACCGCCATCATAAAACGTAGCGAATAAGTTGACAAACTCGTGAATCAGGATTAGAGCAGGCTATTACAGCTAATCAAACCCTTGCACGGAGAATGGCGTGCAAATGACGCTATAAAACTCGCTGTAGTACCAGCAAATATACATGAATTCTGTCAACACTCATTCCGGTGCTCCTTAATTCTATTCCCAGAGCGCCCGCAGATTATGCTAGCGTAACTGCTGCCATTGCCTGATCTGTTTGTAGGGGAGACAGTTCATCATCCACGCTCGCACGTCGTCAGGGAGGTAGGAGACGACGGGCATGCATGCTGTATCGCTACGCAGCATCCCCGCCTAGTGCATGGTGTGTACTAACGTAAGCTATAATAGCCAGCGTAGGTTGTCTCTCACTGCCATCGTACTCATCAAAACTGCGCGATTTTTTTTGTTCGATGTTTTCAGCGGATGGCGATAGCATCGAGGTCACGTGTGCACGTGTTTCGATGACGATCAAGAGGAAAGAGCGAATCCTGCCAGCGTCTAACAGCCTCAGTTCATGCTGTAAAATATCGCTCGGTTTTACACGATGATCGCTAGGTCTGATAAATAAAGTGAGCATACACCACTCAAGGTTTACACGCATACACAATTTCACACGATCACACACACACACACACACACACACACACACACACACACACACACACACACACACACACACACACACACACACACACACACACACACACACACACACACACACTACACCCGTACGTACGTACGACGACGACGGTACGTACGTACGTACGACGACGACGTACGTACTACGTACACTACTAACGTAACGTACGTTCGTTT